AAAATCCTGACAATACACATGTATCTTACCACAGATATCAAGTCTCCTCAACAAAGACATGTTAAACAAATTTTCTTTGAAATGCTGACCCTTGAGAAAAACCTGGTGCAACAGGGCATAGGAAGGGTAAAGAGGTGGGTTTGGGTGTTTCCAGGTTGTTCCACATCAGAAGGGGGGCTTGACTTCAGCACTGACGAAGATCAGACACCACCTTGTGGCCAGAAGTAGAAATTAAGGATTGAGCTGGGAATCAAATAGAAAATCGTATTCCCCGAGCTACTTGTATTAGTCCAGTGAGAACCTCAAATATGTCTCTGCTCTAATATGTAGCCTCGATTCCTAATGCAAACACATCTCAAAGCCTCCTACACTCCCTGATCTTATCCGTGGAATGAGTCATCATTTCCATCTCCACCTGTTCGGATTTGCTCATGATAGACATCTGCGCAGACAAGGACACTACACACATGTTACATGAAAGTTAGAAGCAGTACAATTTTATTGTGTAACATCTCAGGGGCAAAGGAATAGCCATCGTCCAGCAACTTGTCTATATGAAGTCATCTGAGGTTGGGAGAGTTCAGAACATAGTAATGAAAACAATTCATTTCAGAATGCTATACAAATTCAGCAGAACATGGTGATGAATCCTTTGCACTTTACAAATTGCTACATTAGTAGATTTCATTTTCATGAACACTTCTGGTCAAATGAGACTTCTGATCTTTTTTCCCCCAGAACATGGGGCTGGAGAGATGGTTCAGTTGTTAGGAACACGTGTTCTTGCAGAAGACCTAGGTGATTCCCAGCATCTACATGGTGGCTCAGAAACATCCATAACGCCAGTTCTAGGGACCCCAACTTTCTCTTCTAATTTCTAATTCTTAGGGTCCCAGATACACAAGTGAGGTGTGTGTGTGTGTGTGTGTACATGCATACATGCAGGTAAAACATTCATAGACATAAATATATCAAAATTACATATTTTTAGTCAATATATGTGTTGGATACCATTACGATATTTTTGAACAAATAATGTTTTGTGGTTCCCCCGCATCATTTATCCATCCCACCCCCAATCCCTTTTGTGTTCTGTGACTCCCCCACCCTACTCAGGACACATGGGACATGAAGTAATTTTAAAATAATCACTCCCACAGCCACATGTATTTCTCTCATGTCAAATGTCTTTCCAAACAGGTGGTGGTGCATGCCTGGAATCTCAGCACTCGGGAATCAAAGGAGGGAGGATCACGAGCTGGGGGCCAGCCTGGGCTATATAAACAAAATAAAAGAAGTGTTTGGAATATGGTTTCATCCCAGACTACACACTGGTGCCCTCAAGGAAAGGGAGGGTCACTGCAACATTTCATCAAATGGCCATGGTCAAAACCTGTCTTATTATGCATGTATTGTGACAGTCTGCCCAGGCTACAAGCATCCACCAAAGGAATGGCATTGCTCTTCAGCAAGATGGTGGGCATTCTCTTGAGGGAGGAGGACAATGTAAAATCTCTCAGATTTCCAGTAGATGACATTTGAATGTGGAGCTCAAGACAAGAGTGTGGGCGCTATGGCCCCTCTGAGGCCACTGCCTCTAGGAAGAGCAGGCCGGTATGGGGAGAATGGAGACCAGACCCTCTCCAACTAGCTATGACTCGCTTCACTGAAGCCAGTGAAGAGAACAGAGAAGCTGGTCCCCACTGTAAGAGACCTGGGGAAGGGCAGAGGGCCAGGAGAGGGCCTTGGAGCTCCTCTGCTGCCACCTGCTGACCCCTTCAGTAAGGTCCTTCTTCCTCTCAGTGTTTCTCAGCCAGCCCCACAGCCCCACCCCCTAATCTCCATAGTGTGAATTTTATTCTGCATCTCCGTCCCTGACATTCAGTTCCAGTCTTCTTTGCCTGCCTTTTAGCCATCCTTCTGGAAAATTTCACTACAACACCAAACTACTTCAGATCCCCACCAACCCCACTCACCCTGTGACTTCTGTCCCATGGCTTTTTCCAAAGACCCTCACCATCACCCCATAACCTGCTACTTAAGGGTCAAACTTCCCGCAAGAGCAAAATTATGATTTGAATGTGAAATGTCTCCAACAGGCTCAAGTGTTTTAAAACTTGGTCTTCAGCCAATGCCATTCTTTGGAGGTGGCAGAATCTTGGGAGGTGGAGCCTAGCTGGAGTGTGTGTGTGTGTGCGTGTGTGTGTGTGTGTGTGTGTGTGTGTGTGTGTGGAGTACACCAAGGTGCCAGCTGCTCTTTCTCATCTCTCTGCCCCCCCTTCGCTCCCCCCCTTTCAGAAGTGAGCAAGCCTCTCCCACACCCTGGCCTTCCCTGCCATGATGGATCACATCTCCTTAAACCATGGGTCAAAATGAATCTTTCCCTCATCAAGAATTGCTTTAGACAGATGTTTTATCAAAGTGAAAGGAGGAGGGAGAGGGAGGACAGGAGAGGAGTGGGGAGGAGCTTGAGGATGGGGAGAAGAAAAAGGAAAAGGATTGGGGAGGAGAAAACAACCAAGAGGATAGAGGGAGGGCTGTGTGGGTAGAGTGCACACTGCTCTTACAGAGGGACCTCAATTCCCAGTACCCACACTGGGTGGCTCACAGCTGCCTGGAACTCCAGCTGCAGGAGAATCCAATGCTCTCCTCTGGACTAAACAGGAGCCTGTACTCATATGCACATACCCACCACCACACCCCAAATTATTCTAAAATTAAAAAGGAAGCAACGCAGACTAAATGCTTACTACAGCTTACTATAGGCATAACTCTTACAAAGTGATGTGGCAATGCCCCAGGCTTTCTTCTCTCAACCCACTCAGCCCATGGCTACTTCCTGCACCCAGCCATAGACCGGACAGGACACTTACTTGGTAATAATCCTCTTCTCCCTCCCCCACCCACCCCCACACACACTCAACTGAGTTTTGTGTACAGACTTAGAATGACATTCTCCAGAGATGTTCATCCAACAGAGGCCCCCCCCACCCCACCACATTAAGGGAGATCTCCCCAGGAGAGTAGTTAGCCCACTAAGTCACACCAGGAGACCTTAGCTGACAAAGGACTTTTGGGGACAGGAATTGTGGATGTTCTGGAGAGAACCACAAGGTGAAAACAAGCTTCTCCACAAATCTTGACTACACACCTAACATGTGTTATAGGCCAGACTGGTGCACTGCCAGCTCTCAGAAAAGCCAGCCTAGACCTGTAGAAACTGCTAGTTTCTGTGGTGAATAATGTCTCACTGGAGTAAACTGTCCAACCTAACATCCTTGCATAGGAAAAAATGCACCATGAGCATTGGGATGTGGGGGGGGCAGGCCAGAGCAGCTTAGCCACATCAGGCTGGGATGAATGTCCTCACCCCATACAACTTTTATAGCAACCTCACTGTCATCTTGGGGAAAGGGGGCTGAAGTGTGTCAACGAGAAAGTCTGAATCTTGCCTTTTGGTGGTAGGGACTGAAGCCAGGATCTCCTGCACACGCTAGGCAAGCAGTCTGCCACTCAACTTAACCCTAGTCCCCCTTAAATAAAAAAAAAAAATACTTTAAATTATTTTCCACTATGTGTTTCTGTAGAAGGGGCATGTGCATGTATGAGTGCCTATATCCATGGAGACCAGAGGCATCTGACTCCCTGAAGCTGGGTTCAAGATGGCCGTAAGCCACCATGATGTTAGGAGCTGAAGCCAGGTCCTCTGCCATAACAGTCAGTGTTTTAATTGAGCCATGTCTCTCATCCACACACCCCATCCCACTTTTGTTTTTTAACCTTTTGAGACAGTTTAAGTTGCTCAAGGTGGCTTCAAACTCACCCGTTAGACCAGGCTAGCCTTGAATTTGTCACCTCCTGCCTCCCAGGTAGCTGGGATGACAGGCTTGCACCAACAGGCCTGGCTATCTTTGTATTCTATGAGGTTGCATGGTCTCTAAGGGTAGGACATCTTACACTTCCGTCCCACAGCTCCAGCATGAATTCTGTTGGCAGCAGTTACCATTTAATTGCTGGCTCAGTTTATCCAGGCAAGCAGGAAGAATGAGTTGAATGAGTAAGTAGATACTGAACTCACTCCACACCCCATACCAAAATGCAACAGCTACAAGACAAGAGGTAACTTTGAGTAGCTCAGAGTTGGCTGTGGATAGAGGACAAGGCAGAAAGTTGGTACCCAACACCCTGCCCAGTACTTTGCCCATCTGTCCTCTACCCCATGTCCACGGCTGGATTCCAGGCGTAGCCTCCATTCTAGCTTTGTCCCTTTGGTAGGAACTCAGCAGTCATACAGAGTAGACCAAAAGCCTTGACTCTAGGTAGAGTCCAGAGTTCTCAAAGCAAACATTTTCCCTTCCAGGCTTCCTTACTTGCCCCTCTTGGGAAGGGTCTACTCTCTGGCTTTGGCTGTGATAGTTTGGGAGCATGAACTCTGGTCAATTGGAGCTTTCCCTGAAAGAGGTTCCCAATTGACTCTTCACAAAAGTATATGCAGCGAAGTCGCAACCCTCCAGGGGTTCAAAGGAAGCAGGCAGGGCTGGTGGGATGGCCCAGCCATTAGGAGCACTGGCTATTCTTCCAGAGGACCATGTTCAATTCCTGGCACCTACACGGCAGCTCACAATTGTCTATAACTCCAGTTCCAGGGTACCCGACACCCTCGCACATGCATATGTATGCATGTTTGTATGTATACGTTTATATGTGTATGTTTGTATGTTGTCGTGTATATACATACACATATACACATGGACATATACATACACAAGTATATATATATATATATATATATATATATATATATATATATATATATTGCATGCAAAACACAAATGCACAGAAAATTTAAAAAAGGGAGTCCTCCAGCTATCGTGATGTACATGAGCACCCTCTGCTGGCAGGTAGTGATCTGCATCTAATTGGGTTAGTTCCCAGCCTATTGGTCTCCTGTATGACCATTCTCCTGCCCCTTCTGTGCTCCCACAAAGAGTCCACAACAGTTTCAGGATCAATGCTTTATTTTCTCCAGCTCCAGTGTTACAACTGTAGCAGCACAGCAGACACCCCCACATGGGAATGCACTGCAGCTCCCCATACTCAGAAGTCACAAGGCAAAAACAATCTTAACCACAGACATTTTAAGACATTCAGAAAATAACACTGGGACACTAATCCCACACTGTACGACTGGCAGCAGCACACCTGCTGTTCACAGACACAATTACCCATAAATAAAGTTAAATAAAACCTTACTAACATAGCAGTGTATTGGACACACAGCCTTGGGGTGACATTTGGAAGATTATGGCTGTAAGACATGAGACAAGGGAGGGGGCACACAACTGCACATAAAAGTAGCTATTATTTAATCCAATTGTTAAAAAAATAGTCACGAATTAAGAACACCCCATTTTTAAAAGATCAATATTTTAGTCTATAATAAATTAACACCCATTTATTAAGTGGGTGACTGTCATGTGGCCTGAACAAGAGAACACACACACACACACACAGAGCTAAAATATTAAGAGTGTACTCAGGTGGCATGGTCCATCCTTGGATGTCACTCCAAAGATGCCAATGACTCTATTAACTTGGTCACTGGGCAGGAGGAAGCATTTTCCTATTTAGAACTTTGCAATGTCAAAAGTCACAATCAACACATGGGCTATAATGTGCTTGGGGGTGAGGACAATACCAACTTTGGAGCTAAGGGTGGGGAGGGGGAATCAACCCCACAGAGCGACAAATACTTGTTCAATGCTTCACAACTTTTTAACAGTCTTGTTCAGATACGTCACTTGCTCAACCCATGGTGACTGGATGGACTGGGCTGGTTAAAAAGCTGCCTTCCTGCAGATCTATGGCTCATCGCAGGGAGGTGATAGCTAAGACTGGACCCCTGGACTTCAAGGTCACCGAGTTCTGAAGTCCTGATCTTACCTTTCCATCTTACATGGCCCTGACCAAAGAGGCTGTTCCAGAAGATAACTAACGAAAATCCAACAGGGAATTTTTTTTTTTTTTTTTTTTTTTTTGCAGCAGGATTAGTCACCAAATGGTGTGGTAGGCATAATGGTTCAGACTTGATTTAAATTTTACTTTAGACTCTATGATTTGATTTCCCCCTCCATTTACAGAATTTAACACTACTCAATTTAACACTAGCAGGATGAGAGTAGCAACATTTTTCTGTGATAATAAATAGAACATCAGCCATCCTAAGACACCAGCATGCACAGAAACTGTTACCCTATGGTACGACAGGTCAGCAGCCAGCCACCAAGCCCTCAGGGAGCACATCTAAGAACCTGAGGTGGCTCTTTCCTCCTTCCGATCTGAAAAAGGAGCACAGCTGACCATCACGTAACTCCTCACAGCTGCTGTACAGAAAACAAAGCCTGTGCCCAGGGACACTGGGTGATGTGTGGTCCCATGTGGTGAGCAAGATATCACCAGAGTCCCTAAATGAAAATTCTCCAAGTACAAGCTGAATTTTTCCCAGGCAGTTGCACCCATCACAGGAACTTAAGGTCTACACCTCCCAGGTGAGAGGAAGCACAAGCCACGGCTTCCAAATGAGACGGGGCCACCAAGATGAAAACCCCAGTGTATTCTCTGCTCATCTACAGACAAGCTGCAAGAGGGAAACCGAGCCATTCTGTCATCTCCATGAGAGCAGCAGACTAGAAGACATAGGCTTGTGTCTTCTCTCAGAGATGATCTGACTCCACTTCAGAAAACAAAGCAGAGAGGACGCAGATATCAAGTGACACAGGATGAGACGAGCCTGCTGAGCAGCTTTGGAGAGGCAGTCAGCAGTGCAGCCTGGGTTGGGGGGCTGGCCTCTGGGCAGTAAGAGACTGTGACGGGTGAGACCCAGGGCTGGAACAGGGCAGGGGACAGATGAATGCCAGAAATACTCTAGCTATGATTTTCAAAAGTCCCTAGAGTGAAGGGAAAATGGGTTAAGAGGTGGCTAATAAAAACACATAGTGACCAAGTCAGCCGAAGTGCCTGGAAACAAGCTCACTGCAGAAATTAGTCCTAAGACAAAGGCGGGGATTGTCTCTGATTTGCTATGCAAATGAAGACATTTCCAGTGCTAAGAGCTAAGCAGGGAGGCACACATTCACATCACTCACAGGGAAGGGTAAGGCAAGCCATTCTTAGTCTACTGGGGCCACCACCCTACAGTGGTGGGCATGTCCACAGAGGGAGGGAATGCTCCAGGGCCATTGCTTTGGTCCTGGAAGGTTTGGAAAGACAGGCACACATGGGTGAACTTTTTGTTGTTGTTGTTTAAAAAATAAAGCTCCAAGTGATAGATCATTATTTTGACTTGTTTTCAACGTACCTTTTTCCCCCATGAAAAGAGAAAAATTAAAATATAAACTTCATATTTATTATGTTACATTCAAGTTATACTCCCAGGGGAGGGAAGCTACCCACAATTTCAGGCCACATAAAGCCATTTATTACTTTGGTGCCTTTTTTTACCCTGTTTTGTTTTACTTCTCATGATGGGAGAATTCAACCCTCTTGTTTTTTTTTAAAAAAGAAACAGGTACATCATCCCAACTCTAATCCTATTTATGGACACACACAAGCAACACACAATTTCAAAAATCTCTATGTAGAAAAATAAAGGGTAAACATTATCCACCTATTTTAGACTGGGTAATGGTACTTTTATGTACATAAACTCTTCTTCTTTACCGTGTACTGCTCTCCTCTGCGGTGTGACCTAAAGATCTAGGGAGGAGACGGCCACAAGGATGCAGAAAAGCTACGTTCCTTTTGAGAAAGGAGAAAAGGCAGCTTCTCGCGCTCTCTTTCCTGAGTTTTTCCCACCGACCACCACCTAGGATGTTCCCACAGACAGCCTTCAGGGCAGGGGAGGCTGCTCCTCCCTTTCCAGGGCACCAGGCAGGGAAGGAAGGGCCCAGCACGAGCACCCTGCAAGAACAGGGCCTGGGTGTGAGGACAAGGGGTTGAGGCAGGAACAAAAGATGCTGGGACCACTTCCCACTGCCCGTTCCTTTAGTACAGAGTTCGATTCTCCAGGTGCCGCTTCGTAAGGAAATACTTGAAGAACTCATAGACGGACCAGGAGATGGCGGTGGAAGGCATCTGGTAGATGACTCGAGCATGGATACCTTTGAAGTAGCCAGCAAGGCCGTTGAGCTGGTAGACCGTCCTGAAGGCATTGGCCATGCCCGTCAGCCGGCCATTGACATTGGCCAGGGAGAGCGCCATGTTCTCCTGCGTGTTGAGGAGGGTCTTGCAGACATCCAGCGGGGTGGTGGCAGCTGCAGCCAGTGCCCCGGCCAGGCCTCCTGAGATGATGTGAGACTGTGGGTTGTAGTTTCGGAGTGGGTTGACCTTCTCCTGCAGAAACTCATAGGTGATGAAGTGGATAGACTGGAAGGGTATGTTCATGGTCAGCTGTGTGGTATAACTCCTGTAGAAGGCCCCCAACCCCTCGGTCCGCCACACCGTCCGGATGCAACTGAGGGCTGACTGGTGCTGTGAGTTGTACATCTGTAAGCGTTGCTTCACCACTGTGTCCGGGTCGGGGGGAGGAGGAGCGACCAGCAGGCAGGGTGGTTGGTTTGGTCCCCCCGTCCCAGATGGGAGTGAGATGGGAAGCCAACCAATAAAGAGAAACAAGCATGTTAGAACAAGCACTGGTGACAGGTACCAAGACAGCACACGCATAGCCCCAGCCAAGAAGCCATGGAGGGCCAGCTCCAGGCAGTCCAACTCAACTTTGTTTCATTCCTATCTCCGGGGCCCGGTGCCAGGAAAGTGGGTACTTGTAAAGAATTTCCTGTCTTAAGTTTGAATGAGAGGTCACCCCAAATCAGGCATTCACTGCGGGCTAGACTAGATGACCTAATGCCCAAGGCCCTCCTAGCCTTCTGCACACTCCCCACAAATACCTCCCTCTCCCTGACCTGTCCCTGAGCTGAGCACGGTGGCATATGCCTTTAATTCCAGCACTTAGGAGGCACAAACAGGAGGATCCCTATGAGCTCAAGGCCAGTCTGTTCGACACAGGAAGTTCCAGGCCAGCTAAGACTACACAGTCAGATCGAGTCTCAAAACAAAACACTAACCTACAAGAGCATCCCCGACTTATCCGATTTTGATCTGTTCACTGGGACAACGCTAGAACTACATCTGTCCAAGCTGAGTGATACCCCCAAGTGCAGATCCTGGCTTTAAGACAAAATAAACAAATGGTTCATAGCCCGGAGAAAATGAAGCATGCTCCTTAGAACTTTAACAGCGCCTGCACCGCCAGATCATCCACACGATGTGTTTCATCTTTAAACAGGGACCTGATTGAGGCAACAGTAACGCCGCATGTGGAATGGGGATGAGCCTCGTGTAAATTATTTTTTAAAACCAGGGTGGGGGGTGGTGGGAGGTGGACATGACTGAAGAGATGGTTCAAGTTAAGAGCACTCGCTGCTTCCAGAACTCAGATTTAATTCCCAGCACTGACAAAGAGGCTCACAACTGTCTGTAACTCCAGTTCCAGGGGATCCCATACCCTCTTCTGGCTTCTGTGGGTACCAGATACACATAAATACATGCAGACAAAGCATCCATACACATAAAAACATTTTTTAAAAAATGTAAGAATCCAGGTGTGGTAGCATTTACTTATAATCCCAGAAATCTGGAGGCTGAAGCACGAGGTCAGAGATTTCAGGGCCAGCCTGGGCTATGTAACAAGGCCTTGTCTCAAAAATAAACACAAGTACTATTTAAATAAACTCTTTGCTTGGTTAACATTGATCATATGACTGCTGTTGTCAGGTCCCTGTATCAACAGCTTTTGAAAAAAAAAAAAGAAAGAACCCCAAGATATATACAGCTAGTCCCTCTATATTGTGATTCTGAATCCACAGATTTAAGTAACTATGTCAAAATAACCAGGAAAGGAAGTTCTGCACCAAACATATGCAGGCCTTTTCCTGGCATTATTCCCTAGGGAACATCATACAGCACCTACTTACACAGTACTGAAACCTATGAGTCAGCCAGAGATGATTTAAGTATACATAAGGACACCAAGTGAGTTACAAATACTGCCCTATTTTATAAGGGGAATCCCCAAATAAAAGAAAGCCTCCCAGAAAGACAAATGTTAATTTTAGAAGTATACAGGGTTAATAATTTTATATATTCACTTTTCTTGAAATGTTCCATAATCATTACAATATTCACTTTTTCTTGAAATTTTCCATAATCATTACCAAAAAACAAAAAAAAAGGGGGGGGGGGTAGGGTAGGGTGTGTGATGCATGCATGCCAATAATCCCAGTGCTTAGGAGGCTGAGGCAGAAAGGTTTGGACTTTGGGCTATCCTGAGTCTCAGACAGAGTTCCAGGGCATCCTGGGTTGCACCCCACAACAAGTGAGATAGGAACAGTTCCCTCTAAATCTGTTGACTGCAAACATTGAACAGTGTCAGATGTGTACATGCTTGTTGTGCACACTGTTGAACACATAGGTTGTACAGTAGTGAAAACTGTGCAAAAAAATCCCAAGTATCCTACCACACTGGGTTTGGGGCAGGGTCTGAAGAGTAGTTTCTAACTCCTCCTGCAAGGAGGCAGACAGCTCTACTTAGCTGTTTCCACAGCAGGAAGCACCCAGAACCTCGGTGCTCCCTGGCTGTCTTGAGACCCCACCAGGAATGTATACAGAATGCGGTCTTCCTGCAGGCTGACGAAGCCAGCCCTTGCCCACCTTCTGCCCCCAGCTCCTCCAGCCTCTCCACCTACCCCCCCCCCACTGTCCCTCCCTGGAGCCATGGGACATTACCTTCTGCCGGATTCATTACTGCATCGTGGAGTAGGGTGGCCATACTCCCAGCTATCCCTGCAAAACAAACTCCAAAAAATCAACTGCTGACTCCTGGTGTTCTGGAAAGTTCCTTGAACTTAACAGTCAGATGAACTCTGGGTTTAGCTTTCTAAGGCTCAAAAGTGACTGGCTAGTGGCTCAGCCCAGGTGAACGGTGGCAGAAATGTTGAATAGCAACACGGGCTACTGCTTACCCAGCATTGCTATACACATCTCAGAGACCTTTCTTTCTTATACATCAACCTCAGGAAAGGTGAGAGCCCAGAAACCACACTCTAGGTGTTTCCCACTGCCTAGATGTTAATTCTCTTGTCTCGAGCCCTTGGGTACACAAAGCTGTCTGTGTCCTTAAGTTGAGGCTACTGAAGGGGGATAACGCTGTGCATATGGCCAGCCGGCTGTCTTGCTTAACACTGGCCTTGTGAGTGAACTTTATTCCAGGTCTCCCCTAGCCTGGCTTTGAAAGCCTGAAAGCCCTGGAATTTCTGTTTCTGGCTTCCTAGTGCAGCTGCCTGCTAATTACGATGACCAGGGGGGAGGGATGAGGGACAGACTCTAAGTCACCTCTTATGAAGGCACCGAGGGGCTCCTATCTACTGCACACACAGACACAGAGCCAATTATCCCCAGAAAGGTGATAGTGACCATAATGCCACAGGGGTAGCACTGGGCTGACCATCTCCATCAAGGAGCCGAACCATTACATAAGGTGGTTTGGCCTCATTATCAATGTCTCAGAGATGCATGAGGGCATGGCTCTTGGTGACGGTCACAGCTGAAAAGCCAGAGTGTCAGCAAAGCAGCTGTATATGCTGGTTTCTCAGTGTGGCTGATGGAAGGGTGCTCTCCTGTCCTGGACAGAGCAAAAATCAAAGGGGAGTTTGACCGTTGATCACATCTACTCCTCCACTGCCTCAAAATGGATTTTGTCAAAATAAACCTATCTTGGTCGCTCTGCTACCCAAGTCCCTTCCCACCCACTGGAAAGCCCTTTAAATCCTCACCCCACGCTACCACTGGGCTGGCTCACTGGCTCCTGCCTTATATACAAGTTGCCCACAAATGCCCAATCCCCATCCACCCGTCCTCCCTGGATCAATGACAGGAGACTAGTTTAGCCCTGGCTTGCAGAAAGATGCGACTCAGACACACGGAGGAGGCTGGGGGGGTCAAAGGCCCGAATCTCCTGTGGCTTAAAGCGGGGAAGGCCTTCCGCGGTGGCAGTAGCGCGAGTCCTCTATCAGTCAGCATAAAACGTCTTGACCTTTCCAAGCTTAGTTAGATCCTGGCGCTGGAGAGACCTGTTGTACCAGTTTTTAAATAGTCTCAAAGAAGCTGTCCTTTTCTGTGTTTTGTTTTGCATCCAGCATTCAAAAGATTTTTTTCCTATGACTGATCATTAATTGTTTTGAGTGGTTTTTGTAAGGAAAAAAAAAGCTCACACAACAATAAATACCAAACACCTCTACCACCAGCATCCCCCAGAGAAAGAGGGAATGAATAAAAACACATGGATGAGTGTATGTGTGTGTGTGTGTATGTGTGTGCATTCACATGACCCTAGAGTTCTCTGTTCCTGAATAAGCTGCCGAAGGAAGCCAAAGGCTGTTGGGTCCTGGGGAGGAAGGCCCAGGGAGCAAGCATTGAAGAGAGGAGCTTCCTAGCTCCCGACAAACGCTTTCAAAATACCATTGGCTAGGTGGCTGTTTCCTTGGTGGCTGAAAACGTCATTTAAAGTCCTTTTCATGTTTTCGTAGCAGGCAAAATACATGGCATGTGCGGGCCCTGCGCCCATTATCATCACGTTCAGGCCCTTCAGCGGCCTCCAGAAGCCTTCCGTTTGTATGATCTTCTTGAGGGCGCCGTAGATGCTTGTATACTTGGCTTTGGGATCTGGATTCAAACTCTGCATTCGCGTCTGCGGGAGACGGAAAATATGTATGAATAAAGGAGTTAATGTATGATGATATTGGTAAGGGGAGAAAAGACAAGCCAGAGAATAGAAGGAGGGCTGTTACAGGCTAGGCTCACAACCAAAAATATAAGTCATGACTTCTTGGGGGGGGAGGGGTGAAAAGTGCTCCCTCCCTCATAATTCTCCACAGCCTTGCATCCAAAAAGTCTTCAGAGCTTCCAGAAAAGACAAGCAAAGATGGGGGTGGGGTGGGGCATGCGTAGCAGAAGATGAATATAAGCTCCTTACTGAGTCCTGACATGGGTGGCTTCTGTTAGAGCCTTTAACCATTCGGGGCCTTGAGATCTTCGATGAACAAACCACATTTATTATGAGCAAGCATTGAAACAATGCCTCTGAAGACCCTCAATGAGCTCGGCCTGCCCCCCCACTCCCCACCCCAGTCTCTGTGGGAGGGTAGATGCTAAAGTCCCCCACTAAGGGTTCCAAAACTCATGAACACTTATTTAACCTTGTATAAAATGCTACAGTGCTCTCAGCCTATGCACCTACCCCCACATGATAGAATGCAAGGAAAGTGCCATATACTGGCCACGAGATGCGATTCCATTGGTAGAATGTTTAGCTATCGTACACCAAGCTTTGGGTTTGAGCCCCAGCACCGCATACATAAACCATGCACAGTGGCCATGCCTGCAATCTTAGCACTCAGGCTGTAAGAATCAGGAGCTCAAGGTCATACTCAGCTACATAGCAAGTCCAAGGCCAGTCCAGGCTACATGAGACCACAAAGCCAAACAAATAACCAACAATAAACAAACAAACAAACAAACACAAAAACCAACTAACAATTAAAAGCTGCTACCACCACCAGAAGAAATGCTATAAGAACTTATGAGAGTGTGCTGTTAGGGACTAATGACAAGATCTAATGGTCTGTGCTTGTTTAATACAGGAGCACATTTTTCTGAATTATGATGTACATACGATGTAATCTCAAAAAAGCCAACTGAGTTATCAGCATCCTTCTGGTTTACTCTGGTTCCCAGCAGCCTTCTGGTTGGTCTATGCTAGTTGCTAGCCTCCTCCTGGTCTACTCTGGTTCCCAGAATCCTTCTGCTCTACTATGGTTCCCAAGTCTTATACACCCTTCTGTACCTGAACCTCTGTATCCTGACAATTATTCTTCAGGCTCTCCCAGGAAATCTCCCCAGATCCTTTGGGCCTCACCCATACCATCACCTCTCAGTATCTTTTACACTATGTTTTTATGAAGCAACACTCAATAAGTTAGGCCTCACTCTTACACAGAAAGGTCTTTGTGAGGAGAGGCCCTGGCTTCCCCAGCTCTGTTGGCCTCCAGTACTCCCACAGATATGAAAGGTTAATTTCGTTACTTCAGCCAGGCTAGGCTGAAATACCCAAATACCTGATCAAACAACAGTGCACTCTAGATGATCCTCTAGTGTTTGTTCTATTTTGTTTTGTTCAGATAAGGTTAACAATTAAAGTCAGTTGTCCCTGACTAAAGCAGGCCACTTGTGTGATGTTGGTAGCTGTCCAGCCTGCTGGCCTGCCCTGCAGGTTGGGAATGTTCAACCCCTACACTGACGTGAGCCAGTTCCTAAAACAAATCTCTCAGCCTTGTTCTCTCTCTACAGAAAGAGACAGAGATGTGTGCACACATCCTTCTTGGCCTTTTTTCTCAGAGAATCCTAATTACAACAGTAAGAGATACTTGAAATACTTGCCAAATAGTGAACACATGTTTCTTTCTTCTCTCCCTCCTCCACACACCCCAAACCCCAGCCTGGGGGGGGGGGGATCTTCAACCTTTGGAGGCAATGTCCTTTAATTCCCAAGCAGAGTCACATATGACACCTAATGTATAAATTGGAAACAAGACAAAGGACTCCATCCTGGTACTTCCCTTCCACTCCTCCAAATAGCCCCATCACCCACCCCTAGCCCCAGATGAACACTGAAAAAAAAACAGCTTAAATTAGGGCCATTTTCAGATTCTAGAACTTTCTGGCCCCCAAAATCGCAAAGAACATAGACATATTTTTGCCAAAACCCACCAACAGCAGAAGCATCAGTTACCCTTTCCTCCACAAAAGAAAAAAAAAAAAGTGTATTTTTAATGCTTAATGGAGGAGAAGGAAAGAGTCAGGGGTAGGAGGCAAAGGCCTAGTGGTTCAGGTCTGTAATCTCAGCTACTCAAGGGGCTAAGAAATGAATATCCAAAGCTCAAGTCCACCTAGAACTATATAGTGAGTTCAAGCACAGCTTGGCAGCTAGTGAGACCCTGTCTAGAAATAAAGATGGAAGAGATGCTGTGTCTACAGATCAGTGGTAGAACACCTGCCCACAAGCCCTAGATTCAGTCCTCGGCAATACAGAAAAACGAGGAAACTGACCCTCTGTGTTCCCGACAAGAAAGCCAAGTTAAAGGCAGATCCCCAACCCCCCCCCCCAGAAACCACCATAGCACCTGGGCACCTCTGACATAGCACCTGGACACCCTGAGTGTGGACAGCCCAGAGACCCTACCTCTTCCCGTTTCACATGTCGATTGCCAGTTTAATGAGAGTCCACCATAAGCAAACAAAACCAGGGGAAAGACTTCCACGGGCGAGTATAACAATGGCATGGTTAGTGGAATCATGGCCACCACTCTGTTTAGCTGCTGGGCAGCAACCTAGAGATGTTTGGGTATGTATAGTGTTCATGTGGGCCACAAGAGGCCACTGTCCCTGGGAACTGAAGATGCTCTCTGGCACTAACTTGCAGAAGATTTGAAATCTCAAAAATCTCAAGCAAATGAGGTCTTGTCTTTCACCAGGCTGCATCTCCTGCAGCTGTCGGTGACAAAAAGCCAGAATCTCCATACAACACATGGCGCAATGCACTGTTTGTGACCCTGGGCCTTGGCAGCACAGAACTGGGGTGGAGTCGCCATTTGGCTCTTGTTGCAACCCTGGTCATCGAAGTTCATCTCTCTAAGTTCATTCCCTGGGAGTGTGTGTACATGTGGATGTCTGAAATGCACAGAGGCCCAGGAAAAGACATCAGGGACTGTCATGTATTGTTCTCCACCTCTCCCTCTGAGACAGGGTCCCTTCCTGATCCTAGGACTTAATTTTCTCAGTTAGGCTGGAAGTCTGCAAGCCCCAGCCATCTCCAACTGCCTGGGAGCTGGGGTCACAGCCATGTACAGGATGACTGTCTTGTTATGCGGATGCTGGGATCCAAATTCTAGACCTCGTGATTGTAAGGCAAGTATTCTTAGCAACTGAACCATCTCTCCCAGCTTGAAAATGGTGAAAACAGAAATTACACATATAATATAACGTCTACATTATATATAAAACTATAATTTTAAAACTAAGACTTGAGAATAAAGGAAAAGAACAAATGAGGTTACATGAAGAAAATGAAGAACATACACACACACACACACACACACACACACACACGCACGCACGCACGCACGCACGCACGCACGTGATAAAGGATTTTCCTGTCTGAGTTTCATCATCATCATTTTACATTTATTTGTGTGTGTACATGTATGCATGTGAGCAGGCATGTGCCATGGTGTACACGTGAAGGGGAGAGGCAAACCTTTAGGGATTAATTCTCTATCAAGTGGGTAATGGGGCTCACACTCAGGCCACAAGGCTCCACAGCAAGTGCCTTTCTCCATCAAGTCTCACCAGCCCATCTGGAGCTCAGCTCCTACATTAGACCTCACACTCAGTCTCCATGTTTGGGCTGTAATTCCTACCTCTCAGAATTTCATTAGACACATCAGCATGCCAGGGGCTCTGGGAAGGCCTTCAGGAAAGAAACCCGTTTAGTTAGTTTTAACCAGACACTTCCTAAACATGTGTCTTTGGCAGCACAAGCGGTTTTCCTCATTTAATAAGCAGTTACACTTGGCCAAGCACACTTGAGAAAACACAGCTGGAGCCAACAAGCAAACCTCTGAGTCAGGAAACACAGGGAATTTGCATGTGTCAGAGACCCTAGGGCAGCCCCTATGAAGGACGGACAGAGGACAGAGGACAGGATAGGTCAGCAGGGATGACAACAGGGAATAGCCAGCAACAGGTGCAGCCTCTTCTGCAGCCGAGCTTGCTCCAGCCTCCTTCTGCATGACTGCTCTTCACTCTCAAGGGGGCAGCAAACAGCAAAGTGTGATGCGGCTCCGGCCTAGCTCTGTCACTCAGAGTGTGGCAGCTTGGAAACCAGGTGCTTGAGTTATAAGAGGAATTTCAGGCAATGACACATGCATGGACCAGGCTCCTTCTATAAGCTTCTAGAGAGATTAGGCCAGGGAGGGTATCTCTTTCTCAAGCCCTCCCCAGGACAAAACAAGTAGCCTGTTCTCTTACCCAGGGGAGGCGGGGAGAAGGGAGGAGGGAGAGTGGAAAATGTGTATGCTGTCCCAGGTGAGCTTGTAGATCATATAACCAGAGGCAACGAGCCAGTGGAGCACAGCCCTGTCTTTAGATAGAAAGCTAGGAGCCCAGAAACACCTTCCCCATCACCTGACCCATGGGGTGCACGTAAGCTGGGTCCAGCCCCAAAGAACGGGGGGGGGGGGGACCTGGAAGGGAGGCCTCCAAACTCTTCCAAAGGAGCCTGTGCAGGAACCAGTGCGTCATCACCAAACCACTGACTCAGCCCAGGAGAAGCCGGCGACTTTCAATGTCCCATCTCACATTTCTCAAAAGAGGGTGGAGAGCAGACCTTCCCAGGTTCAAAGTACCAGTGGCATTTCCAGGATGAGAAGATAATGTGCAAGCCAAGAACAGTGCCGATACTGCCAGGGTATGGGGTCCCGGGACCCTGGTATGAACACACACACACACACACACACACACACACACACACACACACACACACCTTTTCTAGGGACCAAAGCCGCCTAACAACCATGGTCCAGAAACCTCCCAAAGACAGGGAGTAAGGGAAGGCACCCTGGGAGGGCTAGA